TGGAAGTTCTGACCATTGAATTTCTGAATATTCAGATTCCTCATCTTGTCCATGGTTTATTCGCTGGATTGGAGCCTCTGGAATTACAGGGATCAGCGAATTTTCACACTGACAGTGACACTGATGAGTTCTTGGATTTGGATTATTCAAAAATACACTGGGCACACTTCTTTATCTTCAGTTTTCGTAATCTGGGCCCATAACCTCTTGTGAGTTATGAATTTACAGGAAAATACTCAAAGTGAATGGAGCTTTAATTATTTTATAAAACATAAAACAATGTACTAACGATATATCAATAATAAATATATCACCTAAGAAACCCATAAGGTAAAGTATACAAAGTGAACATAGTATTAACAACAATAACAATAAGGTAAATTTGTGATTCACTGATATATTTATTACTGATGAATAACTCTTATTTGCAGTGCCTATCTGAGAGAGAACATGATTGAAATTATCAACAGTTCATACCTATTTTGTTTATGGGGAAGTGTCTCCAGGACTTGGAAAAATAAGTAAAATAAAGAAGCAAATTCAATGCCTTTGACTTTTGAACTGCTACACACAAAGCTGGGCAAGAAAAAAGACATTATGAACATGTGAAGGTTGGTAATTTATGGTTTTATTTGTAATGCTTGACTCATATTAAAATCTTGTTCATGACATCCTGCCTAGGCCTCCATAGATTCCTATTTTGTAGTATCATCTTTGTAGTAAAATAGCCAATGCAGATTGCATGTACTTCCAAAATGATTAAGTTAAAATACAGCTCCCAATTACATTCACATGAGCAAAAACAGTAGCATATTTTATAGATATATAATAACCCTGGTACAAGCAGGTCATTGTAGGTAGCTTACTTCATAGCTTGAATTGCTGGAATTGAATCTTTGAACATACATTGAAGTGACACAATCTAATAGATATGGTTTGTTTAGAGAAGGTACTAACATTTCTTAAATTTTTCAGCAGGGGAGGAGTTGCCATCCAGGGTATCTTACAATTGAGTGCAAATAGTTACACAAATTGAAACCAAAACCTAGATTCCTTGAAGTTGAATTCAAGTTTTTAAGGAGATATCACTGATTATTTGGGTACTTGAACATATCCATGACATTTCAAATTGTATCTTGGAAAGATGTATCCATAATTTTACTGCTTGTATGTTATTCATTAAATTGTATTTATTCATAAGTAAAAGTTCTACTCTTTTTTCTGTTTTGTAATGTTTTATTGTAGGTTTTCAAAATTCATATTTCAATTCCACAAGTACCTCAATCAACACCCCATTCTTTTTTGATGCAATTTCGAAGTTTCACTTTATAATCTTTACTGATTCCTTTTAAAATAGGTACCTGCCAGGTAAATACGTACTTTTGCTCATTGTTAATTCATTTATACATAATATATGAAAGTCCTGGATTTCAAAATCATTCATAATTGTAAATTTTCATGAAGATATCTTGTAAAATAATTCAGGGAAAACAGTATACATGAGCACTGAGGGAAGGAGTATACTGGAGATCCATCTATTTGTAGGTACTTCTTTCTGGACTTCTTTGGAGTGGCATAAGTACAGAAAAACACATGTTATGTCAATGTACTTTCATTTTCAAAAATTATTATTAATTCAGTTCCAAAATATACAAAACATAATGAACTATACAAATTGATAAGATAGATATTTTCAATTAGATGAATTTAGGATTACAAAATGATATAAAATCACAAAATTTATGATGATATACTGTGTAAATACATTAACTGAAATCCTAGGTCATTTGATCAATGTTTTATGTGGTGGAATTCCAAATTATTCAATGATTTCATCAATATGGTAAAAAAAAAACTAGCTTTACAAGGTATTAAATGAATTCCAAGAAGAAAACTCAGTCTAGGATGCCACCTACCTCAACTCTAAGTATATTAGGACTATTCACATAATGAAAAGTGTGTTATATGGATACAATTCACACACATGGTACATAGGATCATGACAATTTGCTGTTATTGCAGTGGAGCACCATAATATATGAGGTATGGGAGTTGCACTGTAAACAATCCTCAAAGCCTGGAAGTAATATTGTTGAAGATAGGCCATTGATGGTTGTATCTACTATCAAATCCACAGTAATGTCAGGATGCCTTTGGTGTTGAATGTTGAATTATTTCTTGGTTTAGATTCATTAGAGCTGGTTGCTGCTGATTTCTATTGTATGGATCAATTGCACATGATTCTGATGGCTATAATATTTAGCACAAAATAGTCCAATAGGTTAACACATTGTTCAGGGATGGCTTTCAATATGTTCACAGAAGGTTGTTCACTGTTGAAAAACTCCACTCCTGGGATCACCATTTGTGGTCTGGTGGATCCTTTTGCTTGAAGAGTGGAGTTATAGAGGTATGATGGTGAATATATCAGCTTCTGATGATAGTGGATATGCTTGTGATTCTTGATATCCCATGAAGCTGTCCCACAGAAATGCACTGGTTGGAAGAAAGCTCAGACTATTTGGTCCAAGTAGGTAACAGTTATTTTCCTCACATCACGATGAAACAGTATGATCCAACAAAAAATATTATGATTTCAGTAAAAAGTCCAACAATAAACACAAATAACACGATGAAATATCAAGAAGAAAATGTATGCAAATCTCAAGAAATTTTGTAAACAAACTACACACTCTTTGCCGCCATCTTGTTTTGAAACAGCGCCCCCAACGGTCGATCACCTTGCCAATTCTCTCACATCAATTTTTTGTATTGTAAAACTGTCAATTAGGCTGAAGATGGTGTTTTATAAGACTGAAACATGTCCCTTCTGATTGTGTAAAAACACCATTGAAATTTTTGGAGATGTCTTCAAGCATTCCTTCCTTCCTTTGAACTACATCATTGTTTAACAATAATTAGATCACAGATTAATAATTTTATATTGTTCATTAAATCATGGATCCCCATTATAAAACAGCTTTTGGCCAATAAAGACATGTTCATTCATTATGAAATACTATTTTCGGCCCATACTAACATTCAATTGGAAATACATTTTTGCTTTCATTTTATTATTTATGGGTCATACAAGAACTACTATTTTTGTATGAAGAAGCATAGAAATCAAAAGAATCAACATGGGCTTTCTTCCACTATAATCAGAATGGAGGTAAGTAGATATTTTTCTAGAGATTTTAAAGATGAGTATTTAATTTGAGCAATCCTGCATAGAATCTATAGATTTATTGGATTTATCAACATGTTCAAAACATTTTTGCAGTAAATGAAAATATACTGAGCAATTAAATATCATGTTATGAAGAAGAGAAATGAGAAGAAAAATTTTATTTACAATGAGTATATCTACAAAATGTTTGTCATATGACTGACAGGAATAAAGGTAAATATGTACATTATTCAAATTATAAATCATTTATTTTACAAATATCTTCATATTGTATACCACTAAGTTTTCGTCCTTTCAAAACTCCACTGGCTATCTCAACATCAACACAAAAGTTTTTTTCATCTAGAGACAGAAGTATAGCTGTCTCACCCCTATAAGCTCCATTCACTACTTTGACTAACTTGCCCAGAGCAGGTATGACAGTTTCTAGATGTTCCTGATCAATTTTCAGTTTTTTACCAGTGTCTAGTAACTTCACAATAGCAACATACTTTCCTATAACCTCCCGCACAATTGCTTTTTGTTTGTAATATTCCTCACCAAGTGTCTTTGTAACTAATTTTACTATTATATTTTCAGTTACCCAGTAGTCCTTTCGATTTTTCTTCTCTTTGTGAATTTCTTCTTGCTCTTTTATTTCATCAAGAGCAGTTTTCTTTCTATTGTCTATCTTTGTCTTTTTTATTTCCATTAAAGGTACAGTACTAGCTGGCCTTTTGAATACAGTAAATTGTGTAGGATTAACTTTTTTCTCAGATGGTTTCAATTTTATATCCAATTTCAAAGTATCTTCTTCATTTTCTCTAACAAGTTCTGTATAAACAGGATCCTTTGAAGTACCAGCTTTCTCCAATGCAATTTGTACTTGCTTTTCTATAAACTCCATTTGTTTCTCTTCATCATTTTTATCCATTTTAATTTTCTTGTTCTTTTTTTCTTCACGCTCAACTGTCTCTGGACTTCTATCTATATAAGTAATGTACCATCCTTTCTCTGTCTCATCAACTACAGCTTGTCCTGTTTTTCCTAACCACTTCACAAAACCAGTCAATGTTACCCACCTGGTACCATTCATATGAACATGATCTCTATCATGTATGTACTCTTGATACACCCTGTTGGCATTTACTCTTTTAGAGCCAAACTGCCTTTTTAGAATCTCCACATAGCCTTTGGCAAACTCATAGGAAAAGTCGTCAATGTATCTCTTTGAATTGTCTGCAAATAAGAGAAGTTGACGTTGGTGGGATTCAGATGTTGTATGGCATTTGAATCCGTTTTCATCCCGACATTGCTTCTGACACATCTGGCAATACCAGCGGAGTTTCTGGAGTCCCTTTGCCTTCATTTTGTTGGCCAGGTACTTGGGAGTACCCACTTCTGCTTTTTTCCCCATTGTGATGGTATAAAAAGAACTTTAATAAACTAGAACTTAAAACATCCAGTATTATGGAGTAACTTTTCAATCTAACTGGGTTTACTGAGTTTTTACTCAATTCAAGTCCATTCTGATAAAAAAAATAAAGGATTTGGTCTGGTTTCTGGAATATGAAGTGTCAACTGTCAATCTTATCAATAATCAATATGTCAAAGTCAAGTCAGTCACTAGTGTCAAACATGCGTCAAACGCGTCAAACTCAGGAAATTGCAAATTGAAGTTACTTTTTTCATTCCTACCAACCAGCATTAATGACAAATCAAGATCCCTCATTTTCAGAGGTATTTTCAAACTGATAAAAATATTGATTTAATGTAATGAATCCGAATAAAAACAAATGTAAGTGTCAAAGTTAATGAGATTCTTACTTACCAACACCCTATTCTCAGTCTTATCTCCTTTAGTCTCCAATCTGACCACATTTTTGAATAGAATCTTCACTTTATTTCCAACTGAAGATTTAATACTTTCTGTTGAAACAAATTGTGAATTAGAACTATAGTAAATTACTTGTACTATCATGAAATGAATCTTGAAATATAATAAACATTAATATTCAACTAATGCATAATATGTATACAATGGAGTATGAGCAGTGAAATGATAATAAATATTTATTATAAGGATAATTGTATGTATATATGTATGTTATGTGGAATGCAATGAAATTAGTTCAATTTCATAGGTATTTTGGAGAAAATATATGCATCATTGAGGCATCATTATTCATCAATCATTATACAGTTACTTTTATTAGTAAACATTGTATTGAAATTGAAGTGGACAATTTTGTAGAATGTATTTCAAGTATGAGGTCACTGGGTCATTAAAATACTATTCTCAATGAGTAGATAATTAATATAATACCAAGAACCAAAATCAAAACAAAGTAGAGAATCATTATGATACATAATTGGTGAATCATATTACAATGACTAACACCAATATGAAGTATCCAGTATACATGCAGTATACCGTTAAAATAGTAAAAATATGAAACCAATCTAAACATTGGCAATTTCTTTATTTGCAAATAATTTTCATCCAAATTGACACTCCCCTTGAAACGTTCGCTAAAAAGAATATTTGCGGAGTATTCGAGATAAAAAAAATGTACTGACCATTTAAATCCTTTGTGAGTTGTGATCTAGTAGACATAATTCAAACAAAACACAGTCACTTCATCAAATTATTTTCATTTTAAGCATTTTGAAATATAATTTTGAAAAAACAAATCAGACGACATCTCACGTTCAACTGTCATTGTCATAATTTTTGGTTTTCACTTTTCAGTGGTTGTGTTGGTGGAATTGATTTTTAGCAATACCAACTCATGAAGAAAAATCACGTAAACACTGGGGGTGAACCTTAGATCATACAGGAATGTATGATCTAAGGGGTGAACAACTTGATCAAGGAAGCAAAGGCCAATAAAATGATAAAATCGGAAGAAGAACTTTCAACTTTTCCTCCGACGGTACGGACACTTGGTTTAAACCAACCTACTATTCTTTGATTAAACTGTGGTACGGACGCAATAGAGACAGGGCGCAACGGGGCACAACATCACAGTATATTATCTACTCCCATCATTATATTATCTGACGCTCTGACTCCTCCGACGGACTCTGACCGCTTAGGGCGCTTCTTATCTCTTGTAGTGTAAAGGGTAAATTCAAAATTGTGAAAGAAGAAAGAAGTAGACTGTTGACAAATGACAGTTTAATATGCCCCTTACCCCTTACATAACCTATTATTAAATTTCGCAACTGGTGCAATCCTCAACCAGTCAACATTTCCATTTCCATTCCATTTCAAATTTTTTTCAGTATTCAGCAGCAAATGGACATGTGTTGGAAATAAGTGGAACACGTTGGCTGATAAAATTTGTACGAGTAGCTAATATGTCATTCGTAGCAATAGCCATTTCTCGAAAGTTGACTTTGAGAAGTAAGTACCTAATAAAATTTTAATGTCTACCAAACAATTCAGTGGTATCAGTTTTCAGAGAACTGATATTATTATTAGGAATAGGTATTCCCGAGGGTATTTCAGAAATAGAAAATCTCTTTACAGACATTGGCAATCAGTAGCTTTGAATTGAGGATAAAATTGACCTTATTTTCAAAATGGAAGTGGAAAGTGACAGTGATTTTGTGAAAAGTGTTGGAGAACTGTTGAGAAATGGTCAGACATCAGAGGTCTTGAAAGTTTTCAATGATAATGAGTTGATTGTGAAATCTAGTTCATGGGATTTGATTCCCCTTGTATCAGAATATTTAACAACACAATGTGAGAACACCAAGCCAGAGGTATTCAACTGCTCTGAAAAGCTGATGAATATCATAGCAGAATTCTCAAATCCAGAAGAAGCTTTATTGCAACTTATAGAAGAAATAGAAGAATGTAAAGATTCTTCAAAGTTCATAGCTTTATTGTTGCCTATTAAGAAAATTCTTTTTCGCATACCTGAGAAAAGACTGATTTCATTTGCCTGGGGGTTCAATGCTATACAGTCCTTCCTAAACAAATGCAAGATACCAGAATGTAATAATCTTCTTGGAAAAGAAAAACTACTTCTGGACAATGAGGAGAATACATCCAAAATTACTTTCTTGTGTGAACAAGTAGTAACATTCTATGATACATTTGAAGTTCCTTTGAATGAAGGTGCTTCAGACAAAATATGTGTGCTGCGCAAATTTTTAGTGAGGCTATTAGGAGAACCACTTTTATATGTAGATATGGAAATATTTGATGGTATAAAAAGCAGAGGTAGAGTACTAGTTGAATGTCTAGTCAACAAAATATTTCAAACCACTAATGATATCATAATGCTACTTAATTCTCGTTTTGAAACTGAGAATGTAGATCTTTTCAAGCTCAATACTTCAGGACTTGCTTCTCTTTTTTACCTTGTTTACACTGAAGGAATTTTCATAGAAAGAGTTCCTAAAGTGTATAGTCCTATACATTTATTCCAAAATAGTCTCTATCTTGTAACAGAACTAATTGAAACCAATCATCAAATTGTAATTGAAAAAGGGCTTGCTTTAGCTACCACTTTGTTAGAAAATCTCAAATATTTGAAACTTTCTCACTTACTTTTGGATTCTGTGGATCACAGTAAATTTTGTAAAACAATAGCCAAAGTAATTGTCTATAATGAATCAGAACATGTACGCCAGTTTGCTTTGAATGTATACAAAACATACCTTTTATCATTTGAAACACAAGGTATTTACTTACTCATGTTCAACTTGATGTCTGCCTTGAACCATTCAGGACTAATAAGTTTTACTATCACTATGTATAAGAATCTCTTAGCTGATGAGTTTTCAAAAGAACAGAATAATTTTTCTGTGTATTTCAAGGGACAAAAACTATTAGCATTACTAAGGAAATTCTGTTTTCTGCATAAAAAAGAAGAAAGTGATCTTATTGAACTATCTGATCAAATAATTGCTACTTTGAATGTATTAAGGTACTTATCTCTTAGAGACATGGATAATGTGACACATATTTGGGACCATTTTAATATTCTTGAGGAAGAATACTTCAGACCATTAAGGAAAGGTATTGATCTTTCTAGAGCACATTATGAACTGAAAGTGAAAGAAATTACAGAAGAAGTAGCTGGTAATACAGCAAAGTCAGAGTCAGAACCTAACATATCCATAGTTGTTGCTGGACAAAGTTTGACATCAATGCCTACATGTGAAAAATTACAGGTGCTTAATTCTTCATTAACAGCATTTGATATAATGGATAGCCTGTTGAGTAGGCTTATTGAATGTATTGAAGCTAAGAAGGCTAGATAACCATTTTGTCATTGTTTTGTTGATCACTATCAATGTTCTTTAATAATCCATTAGGAATGTGTTATGTTAAATTTTGAAATAAATATATTTTGAGAAACTTATCATTTGTATTCTTTTTTATTTTCCTGAAAATGTTTTTTTTTAAGAACTTTATTCAAACTATACAAAATATAATAATTTTTCAATTTTACATTTCTTGATCAGCATCATTTAAACAAGAGACTCATTTCCAAATTGGCAAGTAGTAGTAGTAGTAGTAGTATTGTGGGGAGGCTGTAGCCAGGCAAGTAGGCCCCCATGGGCCCTTTTTGCCAACCCCTGCTCTCCACATATCTACACATCCCTCTTTTAGTTGTCCTTTTCGAACCTTCCCGCCCTTCTGATGAAGGTCAGGATGTCCGTCTACTCTAATTCGACCAAATCTTCCTGTTGTAGTTTATCTACTCCAAAGATTTCGAATCTCATCCTTCCATACGCCTCACACTCTCCGAGGAAGTGAAGTGATGTCTCCTCATCTTCTCCGCATTCACGGGAAGTGGGACTATCTTCCACACCTATGAGTGATAGGTGTCTGCGTAACCTGTTGTGCCCTGTCAGTATCCCTCAGTAAGAAGGCGCAAGACTTGGCGATCCCTGCCCAGTAACCAAGCCGTCCTTGGCTTGCTTGGACCAGCCACCAGGTCTCTCGATTGCCTGCAGCCGCCTATACGCCTCCAATATACTTCTAGTGCCTCGTCCGCCCATTTGTTAAGGGCAGACGAAGTTTGGCTTCTTGTTATGCCCAGTGCAGGCTCCGTTCCCCAGAACGGTGTCGCGGATCCGATTCTAGCCAGCTCGTCGGCCACCTCGTTCCCGGGCACCCCCCTGTGCCCCGGAACCCATACTAGTTCGACTTCCTTCTGTTCAGCTAGTTTCTCAAGAGCGTCGCCACATTCCTGCACCAAAGCTGAGCTTGGTTTAGGATGGCAGACAGCCCTGAGAGCCGCCTGACTATCCGAGCAGATGTAAATCTTCTGCTCTGGTCCCTCTTTCACCTCATGCCTCTCCGCTACTGCCAGAATGGCAAAGACCTGGGCCTGGAAAACTGTGGTGTACTTTCCAAGAGCGTAGCTCTCCCTTATGCCTAATCCTTCTAGGTAAATTCCTGCGCCTGAGTCCTGTTTGTCAGTTAGGCGCGATCCGTCCGTATAACATACTAGACTCCCCGGGCGGAATTCCACTCTGTTCTCTTCCCATTGTTCCCTGCTTGGAATAGTGAGGGTGAACCTTCTATTCCATCTCAGCCTATTTTGGTCGTTCTTCACTCTTAGGGTGGAGATAGGGATCTCCTGCTCCACCCTTGTCGCAATTTCCGCGTGACCTGTCACTGCTCCTCCGTTAGCCCAACTCCCAGAGTCCCGCATCCTCAGATAGGCCGCCATTGCTTCCCTCTTAATCCAGATTGGAAGCGGCGGCAGCCCTAGCAATACCTCCAGCGTTGCCAAATTGGCAAACACAGTGCCGGTCTCGGAACAAATTATATAGGTCGTACCTACTAAAATCTAACAAATTCAATGTGAATCAAGCATCACTCCTATGAGTTCAATTCCCAAACTCCTCTTGAAAATACATTTTTAATTTATATTTGTATTGGTTATAATTTAGACTGTCCCTAATAGACTTTGGCAAACTGTTAAATGTCCGTATACTTCTGTTCAGTGGGCTATTTAAAGCTATGTTTGTTCCTACATTACTTAAATATAATGCGTTATGTCTTCTGGTATCATGATCTTGTATATTGTTCACCATCTCTAATTGCATATTACATTTGAAGTTATTATTCATCACTTTGTACAGGAATTTGCTTTGTTCAATTTTTAATATTTCTGCTATCTGAAGAAGACCAGTTTCTTTGAAAACTACAACTGTTGATGTTCTGTAACTATAGTTGCTGAATAACACCTTCACAACTTATTTTGAATTCGTTGTGTTTTTTTCATTAATGTTATTCCACAAGTGCCCCAGACAGGAATTAGGTTACTGAAAATTGGTAAGAAGTAAGCATTATAGATTAGATTCAATGTCGAATTGTATAGGTAGTCCCTACATAGGTATAGTCTTACTAGGTAAAAATGATGTAGTTTGCTCAGATGACATCTGAACCAAGAAATAATTCTTCCCCAGGACATCCACTTTATTGTCAATATGTCGTCTGAAATCTACAGACTTTCCTGATGACAAACAAGCTTCGGAAAATTATGAAGAACTTTTTTCACTTAGGTACATCCACTTTATGGTCAATATGCCGTCTGAAATCTACAGACTCTTCCGATGACAAACTAGCTTCAGAAAATTATGAAGATGACATTAAAAACAAGATACTTGCCGCATCTTTGAAATTTGTACCTGAAGTAGGATGGTCTAAAGAAGCCCTTAGTAAGGGGGCTGAGGATCTGGGGTATCCTGGAATATCTCATGGGATGTTTTCCAGAGGTGGAGCCGATCTAGTGCATTACTTCCAGACTAGCTCCAATTTACAATTAGTACAAATATTGAAAAAAGTAAGACAACAATAATTTAGTTCTTTCTTTTGAATGCTTATTTGATTCTACTTTGGAATTTAAAATTTTGCATGATGGAAGTCTTCCTGGCGCGCATATATTTTGACAAAGATTAATAAATAGATATATTTTCAATATAGGTGAGTTGGGCTGTTGGGCACCCTATATAAAACAATTGGCATTATTTGAAAGGGCTAATTTTGAAAATTTGTGGTGGTTTAGTCTATTAGTTAGCTCTGACAAATAATCTGGATCTGAATTCCCCTATATAAATAACAGGAAAAATGCCGCTGTTGACGCTAGTCTAATAGTTTCTGAAAAACTGAGTGGTTTCATGAACAAAATTTTGTTTTATCAAACAGCACTTGTGCCAATCACTATCCTGTGCAAAACAATTGAAAAATTGCACTTTCCTGTGCGCTAATTTGCACTTAATTTCGCAATTTGATGACGAGATGAGAATTATGCCATCTGATACTAATGAAATGTTGAAATGGTATCTCAAGAACCCACCTGATTTATTTGCTACCATTATTCCGGACATACTTCCGTCATGTGATAACGAGTTGAAACAAAAAGCATATAAAAAGTGGATAATGTCCCCTTTGCTGATATCCCAACGTGCCGTGATTCAAACTTATCTAAGCTAGTGTTATTTCCGAGAATATTTCGCCCCCGTCGAAAGATAACATCCGATGGACCAGTGTAAAGCTCAACATGTGGATTTGAATGATTGTAGTGCAATCACCACATGAGTTTCACATTGCTCCATCGGATATTATCTTTTGGACAGGGGCGAAATATTCTCGGAAATATTGACGCTCTGGCACTAACAGTAAAGAATAAAATGGTTCATCAATAGGCATTAAAAAATAATTCAATTAATAGTTCAATCCATCTGTACATTCATAGATGCAAAGGGTCGGGTAGTTCTGATTATTTGTATTCTTGTATCTATAGAGGTACTTAAGAAAAGCACAAGATTTCGACCTCGACAATGCTCCTGAAGCGCCACCAGCGCCGAAAAACCGCGAAATTTTCGAACTTGTTCTAGTTTTAAGTTTCAGCAAAATTTTTGAACTTGTTCTAGTTTTATCGAAGTTTCAGCATGGAAGACTGGTTTGACGAAAGAAATTAAAACAAAAATCATTCTCCTGAGACTAATACCTTTTCAAAATTCGAGCAAATTTTCAATATGATGTAATTTGATGTGATTTTACCATTGGTACAACCTCCTATTTTTCAGTTATAAACTGTTCTTTTTGCATTTTATGTTATTCAATGGGCGTGTACACCTTAGTAGAACTTTTAACTCAAACCATGTTTATAATGATCCTTTAATACATAAATAATGATCGACGACATAATTCGATCGAAAAATTAACTGGAATGTTTTATTTTTGGACATAAATGATGCCTTCTGAAAACGGACCCTGTTATGACGTAGAAACCTCATCTCGCCATAGTTAAAAGAAAATACCAAACGCCCGACGGAGACTGGGGCAACTGATATATTAATTCTATCAACTGTGATCTCGCGCTCTCTCTGTCTGAAATAGTTTTGTTTCAGTACTAGGGTTTCGACGTCACATCATCGCCTCGTTTTCAGAGGTCCGAAAAATCGGGAATTTCAATAATTTTTTATAAAACGTGGGGAGCTCACAGCAATAAACGGTTTGCGGTGGTGAGCTAGTTTGGGTGAGTTCTATCGAATTATGAAATTTTTTTTTTGTGATATAAGCCCATTAACAGAGTTTTCAAAGACGTAGGGCTGCAAAGGTATTCCATATCGTAATTGGGAAACTATTAGTGAATAATATTCCATCTTGGCAGTAAAGAATCCTAATTCCCTAGAAATCACTCACACTGCATAACATCCATAAGAAATTTTACCAGTGAGTAGCTTGAGGTTGTTACCAAATTTCAGATTCTTGTCGATGAACAATCCCCGAAATTTAGAATTTAGTAGTATCATTTCTACTTTTAATAAAATTATCACTAAATGTGAGTTCATCAAGAGAGCATCTGAATGATATAATACTAGTTTTAGATATATTGAACGACAGAATATAGGCGTCACACCAATCTTTCACCTTTTTCAAATCAGATGATATCATTTGATGCAGATTTCGAGGATTCCTATGAGTTCTACTCTGCTAGTTGGATGCCTATAAATACGATCAAGATTTGAGCTTTCATATTCAATAAAAAATATAATTCAAGTATCAGAAAAAACATATCTGAAAATCATGTATTCAATTTTAGTATCAAGAAGAATCCAAAGAGAACCCATTGCCTCCCGGGGATTTTGCTGAAAAAGCAATTCAGGCCCGTCTTCAAATGACAGTACCGTATATAAATAAATGGCCCCAAGCCATTGCCATCATGTCGCTTCCGCCAAATGTACCGAATGCGTTGGCTGCTTTATTGACAATGGTAGATGATATATGTTATTATGCTGGAGACAGATCAGTAGATGTGAGTTGAGAAATTCATGATTTATCTGTTGAAAACATACCATTCTAGTCTTTCGATCACCTTTCTTTCGATAAATTATAGTTACATCAAAGTAGCTCTTGAAATATTATCTTCATTGGCCAAGTTCCACTTATGGAGAATCTAAACACGCGTCGCTTTCTAGATAAAGGGTGTTGAAAATACGAGTCTGAATATTGTTATATGATGAAAAGTTCGAAAGGGTTTGGGATAAATTAGCAAAATTAAGCTCGTTTTTCTCGTTTTTGTTCAATTTCCGGGATGATTTCTCGTTAATTGGAGAAATTAGAAAAAATCTGATATCACGGGAATATTCGTGAGGCTGTATCATATCAATGTGCTGAATATATATGTACTTATTTCAAAAACACCTCGTATATCGTTATCAATTCGACCAACAAAAATATAAAGAAGTATTGTTGTAAAGAGGGAATTGATCGTTACAAATTCAGCCATTAAGTGTTTTGTAGCATGTTCAATAAATAGGAATTTTACTGTTACTGAGGCACTTATTTTCATTTGTGCATTTGATATTATTTTATGATATTTATATCGGGTGGTCACAAAAAAACCGGAAGTTTTTATTTTCCTCGTGGTTTCATCATTTCTCAACCGAATTTGAATTGCTTGGCGTCATTTTATAGCTAAAAGGCTATATATACAATGGAATATTTCAAAATTTCATAATGAACAAAAACAAAATGGCGGATTCTACCAAAGTATTGTCATTTACAAAAACCGCTGGAGAAAAAGAAAATCAGATTTTTCCCAACCTGTACCGATGTCATCTTAGGCTATTCATTTCTGAAGAGAATGCGTACTAGAACATCGAAATCGAACAAATAGTCCAGTAGATACACTCATTTCTTTGCAATTTGTTATGGAGTGAATGTGCTAATCTCGTATAAACGATTATTATTATTTTGCTTCGGGCTTCATGAAAATTCAATTGAATTTGGATTTCTTAGAGTTATTTCAAAGATAAAGATCTGTAGTACACAATGGAACATTTGAAAATCCAATAATTGAAAGAAACAAAATGGTGGAGTATCCAGAATTTTCAAAAATCTCTGGCGAATAAAAAAAATTTTATTCTTCCAATCAGGACCGATACAATTTTAGATCATTGATTTCTAAAGAGAATGAGCACTCGAACATCTGAATCGAACAATTAGTCCAGGAGAAACACGTTCTTATTGGCAAAGTGTTATGGAGTGAATGTGCCAATCCCGTGATAAGAATTACTTTTAGTTTGCTTCTGGCTTTATCAGAATTCAATCGAATTTGGATTTCTTAATGCCATTCCAAAGCTGAATAGCTGTGTAGTACACAGTGGAACAACTGAAAATTTCATAATTGAATTGAATTGAATAATAAAAAACGAAATGGTGGAGTAACCCTAACTTTCGTGATTTACAAAAACCGCTAGAGAATAGAAAATTGTTGATATTGACATCGAGATGTAAGTCCATGAAGATTGCGTGAAACTCTGAAAATATATAAAACTTTATACTAGTTGTAGTCAAAACATAACAAATTTTGAAATGACCTGAATGTGTCTGCCTTTTGCTTCAACTACGGAACTGAGCTAGCTCTGTATCGACCGGGCTATTTCTAAATGAAGCATTGCATTTTCCACGCAATAATCAATTATTTGCTTCAAATCTTCCAAGTTCTCGAAGTTTCTTTCATTTGTAAATACCCGTTCCTTTAAGGTACCCCAGACATCAAAATCTACAGAGTTCAAGTCCGGGTTATTTGGAGGCCACATTGTTGGTTCGATTGAGAAAGGAACTCTGTTAATTGAAAAATGAGCATTTTTCTATTCTCTAGCGGTTTTTGAAAATCATACAAATCAGGGATACTCAATTTTTTTGCAATTATGGAATTTTCAGATGTTCCACTGTGTACTAATTAATCCAAATTCGATTTAATCCTGATAAAGCCAAGAGCAAACTAAAAGTAATTCTTATCACGGGATTAACACCATAACACTTTGCCAAAAAGAACGTGTTTCTCCTGGACTAATTGTTCCATTCAGATGTTCGAGTGCTCATTCTTTTAAGAAATCAATGTTCTAAAATTGTATCGGTTCTGATTGGAAGAATAAACATTTTTTTATTCGCCAGAGATTTTTGAAAGTCACAAAAATTCTGGATTCTCCACCATTTTGTTTCTTTCAATTATTGGATTTTCAAATGTTCCATTGTGTACTACAGATCTTTATCTTTGAAATATCTCTAAGAAATCCAAATTCGATTGAACTTTCATGAAGCCCGAAGCAAAATAATAATAATCGTTTATTCGAGATTAGCACATTCACTCCATAACAAATTGCAAAGAAATGAGTGTATCTACTGGACTATTTGTTCGATTTCGATGTTCGAATACTCATTCTCTTCAGAAATGAATAGCCTAAGATGACATCGGTACAGGTTGGGAAAAATCTGATTTTCTGTTTCTCCAGCGGTTTTTGTAAATGACAATACTTTGGTAGAATCCGCCATTTTGCTTTTATTCATTATGAAATTTTCAAATATTCCACTGTATACTATAGCCCTTTTGCTATGAAACGACGCCAAGAAATTCGAATTCGGTTGAGAAATGATGAAACCACGAGGAAAATACAAACTTTCGGTTTTTTGTGACCACCCGATATTCTTTATACTATTTGATTTGACCTTCAATTGGTTTCTTTTGATTATCTTTAATAGATTATTAATGGTTTCCTGCAAAAATTAAATATATGGGATACCCCAATAAAAACCCACAGGAAAAACCTTATATCAAAATAATTGGTGAAGGTCTCTGTGAAGGATAATGAGAAAATAAACATCAAAGTTCAGTGGAATTTCAAGTTTGCGATTTTCCAAAGTCGAAAACATTATATTCCTAATAAACAAATCTTGTGGGCATTCGAAAATTCAATAGGAGTGCTGGGCATGGATGAAAGCAATAAAAGTAATATTTTCATGCTAAAAAGCGTCTTGATCTACAGTGTCATTCATAAAGTCGGCATCACATGGGAAAAACTTTTATTAATGACTCATTTTGGAATTCGAGTTGGACGTTGAGTTTTGCTTCAAAGAAGATGCAAAAAACGGCCTACTCAATCGGGGTCATGTGACTTTCGCTACATGTCAAAAGTGACATTTTTTCAAATTAATCGCTGAAAGTAGGCTTATTTGTTCGAATATCGAAAAAGTTTAATCGAGAAAGTTGTTTCTATTTCAATTTTACACATGCTTCTCGAATTTGATCTTTCCATTGCAACTTTTAGATTTTGATTTTTTTTTAATTTTTCGAAATTTCTGTAATATTTGAAGAATTGTTAATTCCACGAAACTACTTCATACCAGTAGATTTTTCATGCTATTTACTTTCAATTACTTATTATCACTGCTTATGGACAGAAATATGATTTTCTTCAGAAAATGATAATACCCGCTTCCAAATTCTGTTATGTTTGATGCAAAGTTGATATATCGTCAAGCATTTAGAAACGAAATTCATTTAAACTGATATTTTCAGTACTGAAAAAATGAATTTAAATGAATTTCGTTTCTAAATGCTTGACTCAAACATAACAGAATTTTGATGTTATGTTTGCATCAAACAAAAGAGAACTTTGAAGCGGAGATTATCATTTTCTGAAGAAAATCATAGTTTTGTCGATAGTTAGTGATAATTAGTAATTGAAAGGAAGTAGCATGATAAAGCTACTGGTATGAAGTAGTTTTATCGAATTCACAATTTTTTTAATATTACAGAAATTTCGAAAATTTTTAAAAAATATCGAAATCTAAAAAATGTGATAGAAAGATAAAATCCGAGTCACATATGTAAAATTCAAATAAAAACAACTTTTTCAAGTGAAATTTTCCGATATTCGAACAAATAAACCTATTTTCAGCGATTAATTTGAAAAAATGTCACTTTTGACATGTAGCGAAAGTCACGTGACTCCGATTGAGTAGGCCGTTTTTCATCTTATTTGAAGCAAAACTCAACGTCCAACTCGAATTTAAAAATAAGTCATTAATAAAAGTTTTTCCCATATGATGCCGACTTTATGAATGACACTTATTCCTTATTTTTCTTCATTTTGTTTTTCATGACAAGTTTCTCACCAATTATCTTGCACATTTGTGTAGGGAATTCATCAAGATTTTCTCTTGTAGTTTAACTGGTATTTGAGAAGGATAGGTATAGCTGGTGTATATAAGGCAACCGAATTATACATGATTCAAGATAATTCCCAGGAATATAAAAATACATGGGCATTTTTGAAGAGGAGATTGGAGGAAGCAGTACAAGTACATGATATTTTGTGTAAATCAGAAGTGCCCACTCAAGTTGCTAAAGATACAGTTCAATCTGTGTTTGTCACAGTGAGTTATACTTATAGAAAATATCATTTGAAAATGTGTTTAATGATTCAAATTCGTTTTTTTTTCAGGCCCGTAATATTCTGGGACTCAACTGGAATAGATAGTATTATTTGGGTATAACCAAAAATAGTTTCTAGGTTATATTATTGTCATATTTATTTTAGGTATGTTTTTGTTTTATGTCAAAAAAAATAAATTTTTGAACAATTTATTTTTTATTTGTGTACTTTTTATCACAAGTTACAATTTATGAGATGATTTCCAACAGGTGAGCATAATTAACAATATAACTCATTCAGACTAGGTTGAAAAATATTTTTGTCTATGATATTCATTTAACTAAACATTATTTGCAATGGAATAGATGAAATAGTCTGTATAGTTGAAATAAAGTAGAGTATTTAACATATTCAATACAGAGCAAATGGGTCATCCAATGTCCAAGACCAAACTCTAACTGTTTTCAATTAATCATCAACTGATAAGGATAGGAAAGAAGTAGTTAATACACAGAGTGTTTCGTAATATGTGGGACGCAATCAATCGGATCAAACTATTTTGTTTCCGAGTTAGAATTTGAAAATTTCAAGATTTTTTAAAGATTTCTTTATAGCTCCTGCAGTTTTCTAGATATCTAGCTCAAATTCGGAATACAGGTTACACTGAATATACATTTATAGGAACCATTTTTTCAGAGTCTATCAGACCTAGGAGTCCATCCCACATCCCATATATTATGAAACACCCTGTATGATGAGTGAACATTATAGAATAAAATACATGAAACAGATCAGAATTCCGATAATCAGTTCAAAATTAATAATTGTAAATAAATACCTATTTTGAAGAGTATTGTATTGAGTGCTGTAGAACTTTGAAAACCCATTTTAAACGCCCAGAATAAGTAAAATTGGTCAATACATCAGTCAGTCGACAAATATAAAGCATTGCAACATATTTTGAGTATAATCACTATATTATTGCCATATACTATGAAATACTTCAGGAAAGCAAAACTAAAATAAAACCTCCAACCAGTTCAAGATAAATAAATCTTATTCAAACAATAACATCAAATTAAACAAAATCCTTTTAAAAAATGCAAATCAAACAGTTGAACTAACAATAGAAAAAGCCAATATTTAAAGCTATACATTTATTTGATACCTCAATGTTCAAAAGAACGAGAATTATAAAAAAACAAAGGAAAATATAATTATTAGAATAAATAATTAAACTCGATTTTTAATAATGATCACCTAACAAAAAATTGTCATGTTGGGTGTGAAATGGTTAAAATGGCAGTACTATATGGAATCACAAAAATAACCAACTCATTGAATTGTAATATGTGGAAGAGAAAAAATAGTTCAAACTGGATACAAGAATACTGATGAATGCCAAAAAAATATATCCACGTTTCACTTTCTCAATTTCTGTATTAGGTACTAATGTCAAGCAGGAACATAAGTAAAAAGAGAGTGAACATATAAAGGACAGCAATCTGGAAACTAGAACACAAGAAAATCGAGGTACCAAAAGCAGAAAATCACTTAACCAATTGGGGAAGTTTCCAATATTGTTGTATTTATCTCACTGCGAAGTTTGTTAAAAATTAATATATACGTATTTTTTCTTTTATTCGTAAGATCAAATTTCACTTCAGAAAAAAATAAATAAAAAGGAACTTGGCTCCTCCACCATTCCTATGATGTACTTTCTGAAAATCCACATTCACACAGAGTTAAAATTCGATTCTCTGTGCCAGTACGACGTTGCCGACATCATCCCAATGTCTAGATTCCCGAAAATTGTTCTTTGAATGCATCATAACTATATCAACAGCAATGGGATATGGGTTCTTCAATCCTACATGGTCAAGTATTATGAATAATTCCCATAAATATCTCATTGGCTGAATGAAGTTGATTGCTAATAAAGATAAATTATGATATTTTGCGATAGTATCTATAATTTTTCACTATCTTTCGGTGCGTTCGGTTTAACAAAATCGGAGCCGATCGAGCAGATGCAACAGAAACAATTCACTTAACCTTATTACTTTTAGAAACACGTCAGGGCAACAAAGTTCTTTTGAATGTTTGTTGTTCACTTGGATTTATATTTTGAAAATATCGGAATTCCATATCAGATTAGAAATAGGCGTTACACACTATTCTGGCGATTCTGGGCAAGGAGGATTCTACAAAATTCAGTTTCGTGTTTCGTTTCCAGTTGTTCAATTCTTTAATTTTTCGAAACGAAAGAGATATACAGGGTGTTTCCTAACTACGGTTCCTAACTGCAGGGGGTGATTTGTTAGGTTATTTCAAGAAGGAACCTTCCTATGAACATATGTCCGGAGTTGCTTCGTTTCTGACTATGAATTCACTTGATATAAGTGTCAATTATATTTTTGGCGAAAATGATGAAAAACTCATTTCTCCAATGCAGGTGTTCATGATATTATGCAATTCAGTGGCTTTGATTTTTTTCTCTAAAACGAAGCTGGATATGGAGAAAATACAAGGGACCAAAAAGTTGTATTTTGAGTTGTCTGATCTCAAAAATATTAGAATTTATCAAAAGTCAGTGGCGCACTTTTTTCAACAATTTTGTTGGCTGTGGTGCCCACTGTGACGCCACTGGCCCCAATAATTTCAATCTAAATAGGACTAAATAAGCGCCTTATTAGTTCAAATAAAAGTACCAAATTCCAACCAAATCGGTTCTAGAATATTCATATTTTATAATTACCGTTTTTTTTTTCTTTAATTCCAACACCCCCTATCTCAGAAACGAAGCAACTCCGGTTATATGAGGCGAGTTCGGAATTGTGAAAAGAGTCACTCCAAGTGACTCCGGGTAACTCCTATACGATCGGTATTGACAAAACAGTTCACTCTGTGTTCATGGAGAGTCGATTTTCGATCGTTCGGAATCTAAAAACTGGGCAAATAGATCTCACTCTGATGACTCTTTCATAAATCAGGAGTTTCAAGAACTCCTCCTTTCTTATGTCAAAATAAACGTCAGACGTCGCCGATTTTGACGCTCATCCTGTCTGGCCTTCCGCCATTTTTTCAAATTCGAATTTCATTCATAGTTAATCGAGTTGAAAATTGTGTTCATATGAGGCGAGTTCGGAAATACGGAGTGGAGTCAGAGTAGGGTTAGAGTAGCATTTGCATGGATTCAGACCACGTGATTTGAAGAGTCGAGAGATCAGGTTGGGATACTTCAAGCAAATCCGAACGCTTTCGCTCTTCCCTTACCAACACATTTATTGTGGTCTCAAACACATCCATCAATTAGTTCCCTATCAATAGTTTATTTTCATTAGTTGCGTTAGAGATCTAAATTTTTGCAGAATATAAGAGATTATGAATTAGAAATAGTACGAAGTCTCACTTGCAGCGAGGTCATCAGCTCTCTCCGGAGACATTCTGCCAAATTCGTAGGGAGTACCGTTAACTATAATTGTAACTTCCTTCATTTTCAAAATAGCACTCGATAAAAGAACATAATTTTCAACTCGATTAACTATGAATGAAATTCGAATTTGAAAAAAAGGCGGAAGGCCAAGCATGATGAGCGTCAAAATTGGCGATGTCTGACGTTTATTTTGACGTAAAAAAGGGGGAACTCTCGACACTACTGATTTATGAAAAAGTCATCAGAGTGAGTTGTATTTGCCCAGTTTCTAGATTCCCAATGATCGAAAATCGGCTCTACATGTTTAGTGCCCCCCTTGAAAATAATATTGACCTGTTTTCTAGATTTCTCATATTATTTACTGGAAGGAAGATATTGAGGGTAAAAACTTTTCAGAATCTCACCCTGTATGTCGTGTAATTTTTTGGCAATCTTATCGTTCGTAAAGTTTTTATATTTACTATGGATTTCCATTAAGTAACGACCGAGTAAATTGAAAAAAAAAAGAGATATTGCCTGTATACTAGTGTATACGATAACATGGGATACCCTGTGTACCACCGTTTTTAAATGTCAAATGAAGAAACGACCCTGTATTCTTGTTTGCTTCCTCATACTACTTATATAACCTATGACCTATGACTTTAGTCATCAACGAATTTATTCGGGATGATTAAGGGATGATAAAGAAATATGAATCAGTTTGCGAACGGCTTTCGGTGCGTGCGGACATGATGCGGACCATACTTTTTCGTTTTTTATACCGGGTGTTGTGCGAGTTTAGTGCAGACTGCAGTAATAATTATCGTGATTGGACAGTGAATTTACTTTTCTGTTTTATATACCGGGTTTTGTGTCAGTTCTAATGTGTATAATATAATACTACTGAGTTTTTGCCTAGTATTTTTATGATGTGAAAGTGAAATTAGGTGAAAAGTGAAGTTGAGTGAAAAGTGAATCAATCGACTGATTTCTGTGGAGAATATTTGGCAGAATTTTGAATTTTTAAAAGGATGACGCTGCGTCTATTAGATGGTTCCGAAATAGTATATACGATATGTAAGTACCACGATTTTGTAGAAAACTTTTCTCTATGGTTTTTATAGTATACGGGATACGGGGTATGTCACGACCACCATTACACTATCTTTATATCGAGAATCGGTCATGAGAAATCTTTGAAACTGTGCATGCTTATATTTGAGATTACGCTCTCTTCGTTTAACATATTTTCGACAATTAGCAACAACTTTGTTATTTTAAAAAGAATTCCCTGTATTTTATTGCATTTTCACTTGGGGTCTATCGGAAATGATTACAGAGATATAGGATGTTAAAAAATCGAGATTTTTCAACTTTAGGATGTGGAAACTATTCATTGGTCAAAACGGCTTTTATGTCCCTATTTTAACTTTTGATTTACTATCTTCTGACGTTTAATTGGAACAGATACAGGGTGGTTCAAGAATCATATTTCTGGGGTCTGTTTCAATTAAATGTCAGTAGATAGTAAATCGCAACACCCTATATCTCTGTAATCATTCCCGGTAGACCCCAAGTGTGATATATCGATGAAATCAGCTCTTCAGGGAGAATCTAAAATTTGAAATAAGAAAGTTGTTGCTACTTTCCGATAGAAACTGCAACATTGATGCATTGTCGAATATATTTCAAATGGAGGCAGAGCATAATCTCAAAGAGAAGCGTGCACATTTTCATAAATTTCTTGCGACTGATTCTCGATATAATGATAGTCTCAGCTCGTCGTGATATAAGTATAGATAGGTGGGCGTAGATACAACTTCTTTATAAAACAAGTCGCATGGATATCAATATACAAGGTGCGCCAGTTTTGTAGCAGAAATTTGACAGCTTAAAGGAACATGTGTAACATGTAGTCTTTCCAATAAATGTTCGAAAGAATTGGAATCCATTCGAAAATGGATTTTGAATTGATCCTAAGATCTTCTTCATCATTATCACAAAAGAAGTAGAGAGAAAATCTTACTATACAACCGATCGCTCGCATTTTATTATTTCTTATATCCATATTATTGTCCATTCTGCAAGTGCGAGGGTTTCACAAACACAAAATTCATTGAATCTTATGTGGCTGCGGCAGGAGCACTGAAGGTTCGCGACATGGGTTTGATCCGAATGAACTCTAAAGCCTAACGCGACTAATGAAAATAAAATATTGATAGGGAACAAATTGATGAATATGTGTTTGAGACCACAATAAATGTGTTTGTAAGGTTAGGTTAGTCGCTGTCAGTGTCATGGAGCCAGGGGAAGAGCGAAAGCGTTCGGATTTGCTCGAAGTACCCCAACCCGATCTCTCGGCTCTTCAAATCACGTGGTCTGAATCCATGCAAATGCTATACTCTAACCCTACTCTGACTCCACTCCGTATTTCCGAACTCGCCTATGTTAATAGGAACTTTTCTCCCTAAAATGACCTAACGAATCACCACCTGCAGTTAGGAACCGTAGTTAGGAAACACCCTGTATAATTTCAATAATATGTTGTTGACATTGATTTGTTGACAACGGACAACCGAATAACCGATCAAATCTGAATGATCTGCTCCTCACGGCAGAGCAAACAGATTACATTTTTCAGCTTGCTCTGACAATTAACGAACACAGAGCAGATAAGACAGAGGAAGTAGATCTGATTTATCGAACGCTCTCCAAGCTAACAGATGAAATCGAGCTAACAGATATGTTATAACCGAACGCACTTATTCAATATGTCAGTCATAACTTGTCAGCTATTTTTTTTGTTAATGAGTTTGTTCCTTAATGAAAAGGATCTATTTTCTGGTAAAGTTGTAGATTATATCTTGCAACAGCGCCTACACGTCTACACCACTCAAAATACTGACAGGTATAACAAGAGGAAGGAGCTATGAGTGTCGGCTTCATTCTTTTCTGACCGATGGCAGGAAGTTAGGAAGGATAGTATCATTGAATGTTCAATGATATTTTTGTTTAGGATCGAGCTCTATTCGCGATATTACAATGCATAATTATATAACAAAACCATTACCAGTCAGAATAGAACCAACTACCTTCTGCACTTTTGCTCCGAGTGCATTTGTGGTTATGTATGTTTTTGTTTACCAGTTTTACTTCTTCTATTTTTTTCCTTCATTAGCTATTCGCTAGCTATTTTCTTCACCATCAGCTATTTTCAGACTAGATTCAGAATGTACGTCACAGTTTGCTGCCCCGCAAATTAGAAATTGCTTCAATTTGAAAATGAAAACGACTGTATCGGTCGCCATTCTGTACAGCGTGGACATTTTATGAAAATTCATCTGAAGGAAACTTCCCCATTATAAGTACTGGGCACCAACAATACATTGTAATGAAAAACTTCTAAAAGTAAGGTCCTTGTTCTTGTAAATAACTGATTAATGCATCCGGCAGTGGTAACTTATCCATATCATTGATAATCACAAATTGTCTTATAACAAACCGAGAAAGATACTTCAAAGTCGGCACTTTATCATACCTTGAAACAGGTAGAGTGAGTCTCACAGGGAAATTAGGTTGAACAAAATCTCTAGTTTTTGTGTAGCAATAAACACTATTCTTCGATTTCATAATAGCATCTTCAACTAGTTCAGCAATGCTTTTGTAACCTACTTGGTCAAATAGACTGTAACCAGATTTGGTGTATTCTATTCTGGTGTGGAGAATTTTTCCAATGCTTCGGAAACTCATAGTGAAGATATACCTGTTAAATGAATAACCACTAAGAGAGACTAATTCAGGGTGAGTCATGAGGAACTGTACAACATGCTCCAACCACAAATAGCTTGGGCGTGTACACCTTAGTAGAACTTTGAACTCAACCCATGTTTATAATGATCCTTTTATACATAAATAATGATTGACGACATAATTCGATCGAAAAATCAACTAGAATGTTTTATTTTTGGACATAAATAATAGTACCTTCTGAAAACGGACCCTCTCATGACGTAGAAACCTCATCTCGCCATAGTTACAAGAAAATACCAAACGCCCGACGGAGACTGAGGCAACTGATATATTAATTCTTTCAACTGTGATATCGCGCTGATTCACTCTGTCAGAAATCATGTATCATTCATCTGTGTCTGGAATAGTCTTGTTTCAGTATTAGGGTTTTGACGTCACAGTATTAGGGTTTTGACGTCACATCCTCGTTTTCAGAGGTCCGAAAAATCAGGGATTTCAATATTTTTTTATAAAACGTAGGGAGCTCACAGCAAGAAACGGTTTGCGGTGGTAAGCTAGTTTGGGTGAGTTCTATCGAATAATGAAATAAATTTTTTTTGTGATATGAGCCCATTATGAGATTTGGAAAAAACATATTTTGGTCATAACTTTCCTACAGCTTCTTCGATTCGTCTGATTCTTTCATAGAATATTCCACTACTACTCTTTGATCGACTGACTTCGGAATTCAGAATCGGGAAAATCCAGGACCGTTCTAGAAAAATTTTGATAGTTTAGTTTGTAGCAAAAAGTTCATCCTGTATATCGTTTTTGTAAACTCTGACAGGAAATTTTCATTTCGCTACTACTCTCTAATCGACTAACTTATTCAGAATCGGGAAAATCCAGGACCGTTCTTGAAAAATTTTGATAGTTCAGTTTGTAGCAAAAAGTTCATCCTGTATATCGTTTTTGTAAACTCTGACAGGAAATTTTCATTTCGCTACTACTCTCTAATCGACTAACTTATTCAGAATCGGGAAAATCCAGGACCGTTCTTGAAAAATTTTGATAGTTTAGTTTGTAGCAAAAAGTTCATCCTGTATATCGTTTTTGTAAACTCTGACAGGAAATTTTCATTTCGCTACTACTCTCTAATCGACTAACTTATTCAGAATCGGGAAAATCCAGGACCGTTCTTGAAAAATTTTGATAGTTTAGTTTGTAGCAAAAAGTTCATCCTGTAAGTATATCGTTTTTGTAAACTCTGACAGGAAATTTTCATTTCGCTACTACTCTCTAATCGACTAACTTATTCAGAATCGGGAAAATCCAGGACCGTTCTTGAAAAATTTTGATAGTTTAGTTTGTAGCAAAAAGTTCATCCTGTATATCGTTTTTGTAAACTCTGACAGGAAATTTTCATTTCGCTACTACTCTCTAATCGACTAACTTATTCAGGATCGGGAAAATCCAGGACCGTTCTTGAAAAATGTTGATAGTTTAGTTTGTAGCAAAAAGTTCATCCTGTATATCGTTTTTGTAAACTCTGACAGGAAATTTTCATTTCGCTACTACTCTCTAATCGACTAACTTATTCAGAATCGGGAAAATCCAGGACCGTTCTTGAAAAATTTTGATAGTTTAGTTTGTAGCAAAAAGTTCATCCTGTATATCGTTTTTGTAAACTCTGACAGGAAATTTTCATTTCGCTACTACTCTCTAATCGACTAACTTATTCAGAATCGGGAAAATCCAGGACCGTTCTTGAAAAATTTTGATAGTTTAGTTTGTAGCAAAAAGTTCATCCTGTATATCGTTTTAGTAAACTCTGACAGGAAATTTTCATTTCGCTACTACTCTTTAATCGACTAACTTATTCAGAATCGGGAAAATCCAGGACCGTTCTTGAAAAATTTTGATAGTTTAGTTTGTAGCAAAAAGTTCATCCTGTATATCGTTTTTGTAAACTCTGACAGGGAATTTTCAAGGGTCACAAACAAACATCAAAATTAAAATATTTCAAATTTTCCTCACACTTTCTGCAGTTTGAAAAAAATCTATAAATTTTATAAAAAAACGAATATTTGGCAAAAATTCATTTATTCGGAAATTAATACTTCCCAGCCCATAAATTTTACGAATAAAAGTGAGACACATTTTCAATGCTTCAGCTCAATGGAAATCAACACATTATTTTATTTTCAGGCCTGGATTTAGTGATTCAATTTCTTTATGGAGGATAATAATCACCCTGTACATATTTTTCGAATCAATGGATGAGGTATAAATGTGAAAATGTTGATGGCCATCGCTATAAATAATTTTATGATTTCAATTCACAGTTTTAATTATCAGATTTGTTTTATTCAGTTAATTTAGCACTAATTTTCCGTACTAGAATATTTATCCGCCTTTGTCAGTATAGCTTTTGAAAAATAATTGTTAGTAAACCTTCATTTTCTGTTGGACTATCTTGAATTATTTGAATCGATGACCATTAACATCTAAACAGATACCCCATCCACTGATTTGAAAAAGATCTACAGGGTGATTATAACCCTCCACAAAAAATGAAATCACGAAATCCAGGCCTGGAAATGGAAGAACATCTTAATTTCCATTTTGCTAAAGCATTGAAAATGTGAGTCTTACTTTTATTGGTGAAAATTATGCCTTGTGAAATAATAATTTTCGAATGAACTAAATTTTTTTTCTACAAACGCTTGACAAAGTAGCCTTTGACGCTTTCAAATTCCAGCACAAAGTTGACGTTTTTCCAGAAATGTCATTCTTTGACAGCATTTGCGCTCGTGAGCGGAAATATTGAAAAAACGCTCGCACATCTCTGTAACCTATACTTATTTATTCCTGAAAACCCCCAATTCTTTCATGATGGAAAATAGTGACAGTGAACAATCAAACACGCCTCCTGATATAGCAGAAAGCGCAAGAGTTTGAATCTCTTACCGTAGAAATCAAGGAAGAAATATGAATTACAACATGATACATTCATAAATTGGTGCCACTCCAAGATGGTGAATTAATATGTATTCAGAATAGTTATTTATGTATTAAGGGAATTATGAGGGCCTTAATTACCGATGGCAAAGTTTGCGTCCCGAGGGCCTCTGGCCCGAGGGACAGCAATTGCCAGAGGTTATTGAGGCTCAGTAATTCCCGTGATACATAGATAATTTTATTTCTGCCTGATTTCATTCATTAGATACCTTCCTGATTGGAAGTTAGACATGTTTTTCCGTATAGTTTCAATGTCATCAGAACGTCAGATGATGATCTTGACTACCGCGAATAGGAGATTCCTTATTGCTACGTTATTGCGTGGTTGTTGCTATGCATTCCTTATTTAATTTTAGCTAGAGGGAATTATAGCATCTATAACATCCCAAGGGAGTTATGACCCTCATTATAGATATTGTAACTATGACGATATAAGCTTATAATGTCACTGTCAGAAATAAAACGTTTTACTGGCTTATTTTGGTAAAAAATCAAAGACTTTGAAGTCATCAACTCATTGGTCTATATATTCGATGGTACGTATACATGCTTGAATGTTAAAAATAATATCGGAATCAATAAGTATCTGAAACTTTCTCGCATTTCTCAAGAAACTATCTATTGTATATAAAGCGAGGAAAATCCAAAACATTCACCGCTGAAGATATATACCAACAAATTTCTACAAGAAGCTCCCGATGAAGCATATCTGTTAAAAATGATGAATTACACTTTATATTTGAACTCTTCGTTGTCATCAGAAAGACATTGTATCTTTATTTTATTGCATCAATGAGTAATGTTCAATTTGATTGCAGAGATTTTCGTACTATAGTTCAGAGGTCTGAAGCTCAGGTTGCCACGCTGGTGGTCCAGTTTCAATTCTCGGTAGAACCGACATTCACTTTTTGGCCTGTCAGTTATTTCAATTTTTCTTTTTTTGTTGCCTTTGGACATATGGGATAATATGGATAAGAACTTTTTCAACTATTTCAATCGCTCATACTTTCAGGGCAGTTATTTCCGGAAGCTGCGTTAGTACAAAAAATCTTGTGTGTATTTTGAACACAAAGTGTTATTGCCGCTCTCCAAAGATTACCGCGCTCCGCATCGTGCGGTAACTTTCTTTGTCGAGCGGCAATCTATCACTTTGCGCTCTAAATACACAAATAGCTATTGTCAAACTTCCTGGATTTTTCCGATTCTGAATAAATCAGTCGATTAGGATTTAGTAAAGGAAAATTCCATGAAAAAATCAGACGAATCGAAGGAGCTGTTGAAAAGTTGTGACCAAAAAATGTTTTTGCCAAATCTCATTGTTCACCCTATATATTGGTAAAGAAGAGGAGAATATACTTCCTGATGGTCATCAAGTCATTAGATATTCCCCTCAAGGGCCTCTATTCTTGGTAGGAGTATGTACAGTTCTTCATGACTCACCCTGTATATACAGGGTGTTTTATTACTAACTGAAAATATTTCAACTATAGATTCCTGAGCTCAAAATATGATATTTTTTTTTCCAAATCTACTATATAAAATGTGTTTCCTGATTGAGAACCAAGATGTTTTATTTGGGAATTTTTAAATCATTTGTGCCTAGTACTTTGAAACTAATTGACATATTATTGTCATATTTGGCGGGAAGTTTATATACTGTACACCTTACTGAATCATGTAAAATAAACGTTTCTAGCTACTATCAGAGGCGTATGACATGGAAAAGTGGCTGGTTGATCCTTTCCAAATTCTACACCACTGGCAGAATTGCCAATTTTTCGATTTTATTTTTCAAATAATTTCAAGTTGAACATGAAGCTGCACAATTATTTTGATTTTGGTGTGTATTAATTATGTTTTGGATCATTAGATTGCATTCATAATGCAAATTAATTAAACTTCAATCCATATCAAGAAAAAAAAAACAATAACATAAATTTTTTTGAATATAATAAATAATAAAATACCCTGTATCTAGGTGATTGGGGTTAAATCTTCATATTTTGAGCTCAGGATTTTATATCTGAAATATTTCCAATCACTAATGAAAAACAACAAAATCCATAAAATAATAGACAAATAATTGCCTTGAGCATTTTTACCAAAATTGTAAAAATTCTTGAAAAGTGTAGTGTAAATTTCATAAATAAAAAAATATAACTGACATAAATCAATTTGGTTTTCAAGGAAATAGTGGCACACAAGCGGCAATATTATAAGTAATACTAGCAATTTGAAAAGGACTTGATACAGGAAATTATACAGATTACCTTAGTTTACCATATCACACTTTCAAAAAATTTAGAATTAATGGAACTCAGTGGCATTATAAGAAACCTTTTAGGGACAATCAGTACCAAATCTATCAACTCACAGTCTCATAGCCTACCGATGACGGTGTTCCTCAAGGATATGTTTTAGGACCAATCCTATATTTATTTTGTACTCAAAATATCACGAAAATTGAAACAGAAATGAAATTATTATACTATTTATGCAGATCAATTATATAAGAATCCTATTATTTCAGAAAATATTATTAACAGACTTGATGAAATTTGAAAAATGGGTCCATCCAAACCTCTTATCAATAAATACTAATAAAAATGAATATACTGTATGTCTCCCTAAGTTGAAACCATATGAAAAACTTTTTTATTATTGATTATAGGAAAAAAGATATTCTTGATAAAAAGTTCTGCATGTTCTAAAATCTGATATACAATCATCAGATATCCAATGGTTTCAGTTGTATACACTTTGTGTCAAATATAAAGGTACTTTCCTAGTGAGTACAATTCAGGTTGGTTCCAACTAGTGAGACATACTGTATAGAAGAAAGAATTTATTGTACTAAAAACCAAAAGTTAATGTATATGAGTTTTAAACAAAAAATTAACAACATATTGATATTAAAAATGTATCATCAAAACAAACTAATGATAAAAAGTATCTTGGGATTTGGTTTCACTTGAGAATCCCCAATTATTGGAGCCCTGAGAAGATGTCCCAAACTTGATTAAAAATAATCCATTATTCTCATATTAGATAAGAAATACTAATGAAAAGAAGAGAATTATTAGTTATAGATTCACTATATAAATTCAAATTAATGTCGTTCATTCATTCAGTTAAACATTGTCAAAAGCATTCAAATTTGGTTTTCCAAGTCAATAGTAATCACCACAACCATACAACCAGACAAGCAGATCATTTTTCTGTCAAGAAAATTAAGTCAGATATTGGTAAAAAATCCATCTATCACAATGGAATGATACAATACAATTCACTACCAAATAACTTGAAGCTGATTAATAGGATTGAAAAATTCAAAAGAGAATTCAAGAAACATCTACTCCTGTAATATTGAAATCTTATCTCATTTTTTTTAGTTTTCTTGTACAACTACTATAGTTTTCAATTGTGTACCTAACAGCTGAGTCAATTGAGGATCATTTTCATTTGAACTTGAAAAAAAAAAGATTCTTTTTGAGTGTGAGTCTTATTTTACTGTCTTCTTTATTTTATTTTGTCAAATATATTTATGTATTCACTATGTTCCCTGCTATAAACAAATGTTGTTTCTTGGGAATAATAAAGTTGATTGATTGATTGATTTATCATAAAAACAGTGCTTTAATGGTTACCCAATAGCTGATAATATAAAATAAAAGATAGAAATCCAATTTTCTTTCAACAAGAAACTATAAAAATCCTGATCACCAAACTAGAGAAACATGGTTTATTTTATCTTGATGTTGCTAACTCTACAATAGGGCAAAAAATAATTACCCTCTATTTAAATACTATGAATAACTGATAATAGAGATTATACACTGTATAATCTCTGCTGATAATATAAAAAATTGCAGAAATATAATCAAATTCAAATACCAAATGAAAAAACTGATAATTTCTTAATGAAATAGATGATTGATTCATGTAGTTTTTTTTTTCAACTTGTAATACCTATTAAAATTGATTTCTGTTTCACTCTTGAATTTTGTAATGAGATTGATAGAATTCAATGATTATATTATTTATGATTTTGTAATAATTATTGTATTGTTCTTATCAACTATTTCATTACACCAGAACTTCATTCTGACTGGTAGTCATATTTTCAATAAATGAAATATATAGTAAAAAAGAGTGAAGAAAATCTAATTCTCACCTATCTGCTGTGGAGTCCCTAACAAGGAAAGCTCCATCAGGAGAATCTTTGAGCCTGTCTTCAGCCTGAGACCTGGAAATTGGGCCCCAATACCAGTAGTAATTGGTAAGATTTGCAATTTCATTTTTGGGCACACTACCATTTGGAGCTTCAGGGGACAGTTGAGCAAAATTTCGTCTCCTTGGAGGTACTACTGGGGCTGGTGCTGATATTGAAACTGAAGAATTTGAGGGCACTGGTGAAGCCTAAGGAAAATATGTTAAAGAGATAAATAAGCAATAAATCATCATATGAATGACTTCCATGTTTTCTTTTTTCTCATTGTACATTGGTTATTTTATAAAGAATAATGAATGGATAACTTGTAAAAAATATTGTTAATATTTACCAAAGTAATCCTGGCAGGACAAGGTGAAACTCTTGGTGAAGGTCTTTCAGAATTTGGTGAACCTGCAGGTTTTTTCACAGGCCCAAAACTGTAAATGTTTTCCACATGTCGTGCAGGTGATGAAAGTGTTACCTTTGGAAGGGACATTCTCATAAAACAAGTACTCATTTGTTGGAAATTTGCAGAATAATGACTGTCATTTAAAATTTCTAGTGGAAAACAATAAAAATAGTGAGAAATCAGATTGGTAAAGTTCAACAAAATTTCAAGTGGAAAATATATGATACTAAAGTAAATCATCAAACTGTTATGAAATAATAGAACCAGTATTGTACACTAAAATTGCATGACAACTTTTGACAATGTTCCACTACTTTAATGATAATATATTAATATTTATTCAATTTTTATACAGCTAATGATGACCATCTGTCTTATAGGAATATGAGCAAGTAAGTAGGTATGAAATGCTCCAAGTGCAATGAAATGTAAAATAAATTTGCAAAGCTCAGTCATTTCCACAAATGTTTATAAATGAAAGAAACTGGTAGAGAGAAAAACAACTGCTTTCCTGGCTAAATGCCATGCAGAATCAATTTATTGTGCATGATGCTACAATATTTCAATGAACACACATCTATTTTATAGTCAGAAAATATAAGACAGAGTTTTTATCTATTGTGACAATCATAAAATTTAAAAAAAAAATGAATAGACTTTTCTATAAGTACTCACTCTTTGTGAAATATGTGATGATGAAGTTCCATTGGAAACAACTGCAATAGTATGTCTGGTTGTGCTAGTATTTGAATTAGTATTTTTCTGTTTGAATACATCTTTCACACGATTATGCATCTTGAGGATACTTCTTCGGAACCCATTTCTGGTCCAAGAAGATTGTGTCTGTGGATCATTATTAGAAGAAATATTATTGTGCACATAAATACCCCGTCGATATAATATATTATCTTCACTTCTCTGTTCGGAGCTGTCCAAAGATCGCCGTCGAATTCTCAAGTCTCTCAAACGAGACAACCAGTTCTTGGATTTGTTATTGGGATTTGCCATTTCCAAAGTGTCCACCTATGTGGGGCACTGTCAAGTAGGGTGTATTATGGACGTGATAAATCGATATGAAGAAATATAAGCAGTTGTAATGATAATCATTCGACAAGACGGATTGAAACAAATATATAAAAGCTATGTGAATGCATGAAAATTATGAAATCAAATATTATATTTTAATTTTTCTAAAAAAAATCTGAGAATGTCCACTTTTACTGTCAATGTCAATAGGTCAATTCTGTCAGTTTCTTCTCCTTCCTAACTTCCTGTCTGTCTGTCAACTGCAACGTGTTTATGGTCCGTACATGTATAAGGCCATAACGATTTTTAGTTAAAAGTTAGGTTCATCTGTAGCAGAGAACTTGACTGCATCAACAGTGACAGCTGACCTGACAGAGTGACAGATATAATAGCGGATACACAGAAACCATCTGCGAATCGTCCCGAATGCGCGCGCATATATCAATACAGATCTGCAGGTCCCAGGTTCGATTCGCTATGAACTTAATCTTTTTTTTACAAGTTTTTTTCACCAATGTATCTTTACTTCATTCTGGTTTAGCTTCCTCAAAAAATATCGAATTTCGAATAGGTTAGTGCGTTTAGGATAAACAGTCTCATTTTATTCAATTTTGTTGAAAAACTTGACTTATCATTGATCAATGTGTATTTACTTCATTCTGGTTTTCCTTCCTCAAAAAATATTGCAATTAGGAATAGGTTAGTTTGTTAAGGATAAATAGACTCAATCCATTTAATTTTGTTGAATACTATATTTTTATATGACTGAAATTTTCCACTTCATCCTATTTTCTTTTCTCGAAAAGATTCGGATTCAATCACGATTCATTTTGAATGCACCGCCATAGCTAGAATCGTTCTGATTGGTTCATACACTCGGGACGATTTGCAGATAGTTTCTGTCTGTGTATCCGCTAGTGACAGATATATGCACTATGCACATCAAAAATGTAAATAAATAAACAACTAAAATAGGTATTTTTATTTGTTGATAACTTCCTGATGGATAAATTAACTCTAATATCGGGTACTCTTTTTATGGCAGCTGATATTTTTGCCATTGTGAGTTTGGCAATGCCAGACTGGATCATCACAGATGTAGGAGGTATGTCCAGATCTCCTTTTTAAATGATATTTATTAATTTTTGTGGTTGTTCTAAACTTTCAGGAGATACTAGACTAGGTCTGATGTGGACATGCATGACACTCTATAACAGACCACAAGTTTGTTTCACACCAGATCTACAACCTGAATGGTTATTGGCATTGGTATGCATTTTTGTTGGTTGTATTTGTATTACCACAACAATTATACTGCTAGCTTCATCCCATTGGGATAGAAACGTTGTTCCATATGCTAGATGGGTTGGATTCACTGCAAGTAAGTTGATGGAAAAATGTATAAATTCAGTATGGGTGAATATTATCTCTTTCCAGTGGTTCTTTTCTGCTTGGCTGCAGTTATTTTTCCAATGGGTTTCCATGTAGATGAGATAGGTGGCCAACCATATCAGCTTCCTGGCAGCCACCAAGTTGGTATTTCTTATATTTTATTCATTTTAGCTCTCTGGATAACAGTCATCTCAGAACTATTTGCTGGGAAAGTGTGTCTACCACATTTTTAGAGTTGAGTGTTTCCTATTGTAACAGGTTTAGTTACAGTTGTTTGATACATAGTTATGCAATATGTGAAAATGAGATTTTTCTAAGCAATCACACATTCCATATTCCCACTTCATGGGACTTTGTTAGAGCTTAAGTAATACCAACTATTATTATGTAGTAGGTATAGTCCAGCTGATTTGAAACTAGTAGATACTAGGTCTATGTGGGAAAGAAAGAGTATAACACAAACTGTCTCTTGAGTGATGAGTGAATACTGACAATACTGTGTACTGGATTCACCAATTCAGTAAGTATTTCTCTGTCTCACCTTGTGGAATCTTCCACAAAGGAATATACATGCAAGAAATGAAATTTGTAAATGACCTAAAGATAAAATCAAAGTAAATCCCATTGAAAATGTGGAAGCATTCAAGCCTGCATAAGAATATTTGTTCCAAACTACCAGTATTGCAGTGTGATCAAGTCCAGATAGATATAAGTAAGGAACTTGATACTGAACAGTATATTATTTACCAATTTGAAATATTTTATAGGTGTGAATAAGCCATGTGAGTATTGTAGATTTGTATTTATACTTGAAAGGATTAAATATTTATAGAATTTATTTCTTTGTTTTGAGTAAATGGTTCTCCTTTGTATCTATATATTTCAACTTAAGTACAATATATAAATGTTCATATACATACATATTATTATAAATATAGTAAAAAAAAGCAACTACACAAAATCTACAAACTAAACAACATTCAACACATATAATACAAGTTTTATATACAATTTACATACATATATTAATGAAGATCTACTGGAAATATTTGTAAAATTTTGGAACAGCTACATTGTTTCCACCATTCAAGTGCAGACTATGCTCATTTTTAACAGTAAATGCTTTGAACACTTCATTCACATCTGTATTATCTACATTCAGATTAGCGAATTCTTCATTGATGTGCCTTTGCAAGTCCACCTCACTCATACCATTATTGACCCCATTTGGTCTAAAATTCGTGAGGTCCTTCACAAAGTCTTGCTGATGGCTAATAGTGACCTCATTGGATATGTTCTCGGTCATGTAAACGGGTTTGTTGAAGTTGATTTGGTTGGTAGGACTGTCATACCAACTGAAAGTCGGGGACTCGCAAGATGAGGGGGTGGAACGCTCGAAAATATTTTTGTCCATCACTTTGGAACCTTTTTGGTTGGTTGTGTGCAAGAGGTACTTGAATTTTTCTGCCGCCTCAATGCCAGTCGTATCTCTCAGATAGTTGTACCATCTAGAAAATGTCAGACTCTTGACTCAATTATTACAAAATTGAAATGATCATTATTGAATTGAAGAAGACATATGGTTGAAAATAAAGTTTTTCACAAAGTTTTGAATAGAAATAAATCACAATTTTGTTTATATTATTATTTGAATTAAAGTGAATACAAAATAAGAAAACTCAACTACTTATTTTAGAAGATTCAATGAGAAGAATGTATTAATATTGGATAATCTTTAATAATCATGACAGTCAGTGAAGAGGTGTTGAAGACCCAGGGCACACAGATGCCCTACAGGTAGACGGATAGGTAAAATAAAATTTGCAATTAAAAGTTATTTTTATAAAAGTTTGTCGCGCGCGATGATTAGTGTTGGGTTAAATTGAAATTTTGGAAATCGTGACTTGATCAGGACATACAGAGTGGGCCTTTGAAAACGAAACAAAGGCTCTGTAGGTCGCCAAAACCGGATTATCAAAAAAAAACTGAAACAAGTCAACTACATTTTCGAGGGGGACATCTTTCTAAAATATTTTCAGCCCTGCGGCGTTGCCGCTTTTAAAGAAAAGAAGCAACAACTTTGTTATTTCAAATGGAACACCTTGTATTTTATTGCATTTTTAGATTCTCCCCGAAGAGCTGATTTCATCAATGCATCACACTTAGGGTCTAGCTGTAATGGTTTCAGGGATATAAAGTGTTCAAAATCGAGATTTTTCAACTTTAACATTTTTTTGTGTCGAAACTATTCATTATTGGTCAAAACGGCTCTCATGTCCCGATCTCAACTTGTGATTTACTATCTACTGACATTTATTTGGAACAAATACCGGGTGGTTCAAGATTCAGAATTCTGATCACCCTGTATCTGTTCCAATTAAATGTCAGTAGATAGTAAATCACAAGTTGAGATAGGGACATGAGAGCCGTTTCGACCAATAATGAATAGTTTCGACACAAAAAAATGTCAAAGTTGAAAAATCTCGATTTTGAACACTTTATATCCCTGAAACCATTACAGCTAGACCCCAAGTGTGATGCATTGATGAAATCAGCTCTTCGGGGAGAATCTAAAAATGCAATGAAATACAAGGTGTTCCATTTGAAATAACAAAGTTGTTGCTTCTTTTCGGTAGCAGCGGCAACGCCGCAGGGCTGAAAATGTTGTAGGACGATGTCCCCCTCGAAAACGTAGTTGACGTGTTTAAGATTCTTTTCATAATCCGGTTTTGGCGACCTACAGAGCCTCTGTTTCGTTTTCAAAGGCCCACTCTGTATGTAGCCAACTGTAACATTTTCATGCCCTAGAAATATGTTCACTTCATTATTAACATATTGCTGACTCCACACTACCTTTTGATGGTCTGTAATTGCTCTCAGGTACAGTCACTTTCAGTGGATTTTGTTGATTTCAGAATGGAAAATCACCAAATTCAATACTGAAAGTTGAATTCGGAACATAGCCAAATTTTCAAAATTTGGAATGACCATAATAATTCCGATATTTTGTGCTAATTGCGTTGGCCATAAAAATCCCATTGTTGAGAACGGGTTCATCATCCGGAAAAAAAATCAATCTCACTCACCAATGCAATCACTAGAAACAATGAAGACTTTAATATTATCTGCCTGCCATCTCTTCTAGAACTAGCTCTAGTGCCCGGTTATTCATTTTTCAATAATCAGCAATCGAATTATCCTTCCACATTCACCACACTCTCTGCCACTTTCTATTATTTTTTATGTCTCCTTCACATAACGACAAAAAATGTCTCCAAAGACACCTCAGCCGATGTCGACGTCGTCTACAAACGATAAGTTTTGTCGGACAGGTACGTCCCGTAACGATTATCGTTCGCTAACGATGTCGTTGAGCGTTACAGAATAGTCCCCTAAGGCCTATATTTTCGAAAATTTCACGAAAAAATGATGTGGCTCATCTGCACAAATAGAAGAGCTCAGGTTACGATCGGCCCTGAACAGTCTTGCGTTTTTAACTATCAGTACCATAATAATTCCGATATTTTGCGCTAATTGGGTTGGCCATGAAAATCTCATTGTTAGCAAGGAGTTCATCATCCGGGAAAAAAATCAATCAATCTCACTCACCGTTCTTGTAAACCGGGCGGCTGCAACAGCATATCGGCGAGCGACATGTTGTGCGGCAACAAGTTGATGCAGTCGCTCAGCACGTTAGCCTCGGGAAAATGCACGTTGTTCATGAACTGGATCAGCTTCTTATTCGACTGCACCACCTGCTTGGTCTGCCCCTGCTGCGGCAACGCCGCACTCGCCACAGGTGCCACGCCCTTCAACAGCGGCATGCCGGGCGCGGCCCTAGGGGGCGGGGCCACAAGCGGCGCGTTCACCAGTGGGAGGGGCGTCTGGCTGAAGCCGTTCGCGATTGGCGGAGGGAGGAGATTGAAGAGGAAGGGGCGTGGTTGCTGCGAGTAGATAAGCGGCGGGAAGAAGCGCAGGTCTTGGAGGGGGAAGGGCGGGGCTACGGGTGCGACGAGGGCGGGGGCGGGAACGGTGACGGGGGGCGGTATTGTCTCTTTGGCGTTCTGGACTTTGAGGGCGCGCGGCAGCAGGCCGAGCTCTTTGTACTTGCGCGGGACGAATTCGGGGGCGAGCGGGTTGAGCGTGTATATTTTCTTCAGTTCGATGCCGTCGAGTTGTAACTGCAATGATAATATTCTGGAGAATATGTTTATAAGCAGGTTTGTTTTCTTCTTCACTTGTATTCAAATTGAACAAATCTATTTATTTATTTATTGTATCAAGTAAAATCTACATTTTGTCATTGAATATTAATTACATGTATACAGGGTGAGTCAGAATAAGACCGGCAAACTTCGTGCACGGATTCCTCACCTCATTTTGAGGTGATAAGTTCCTATTAACGTATATCCCGAAATGCATCCTCACTGAGATACAGGTTGTCGAAAGTACGGAAAAGTTGAGATTGCTTTAAATTTCTCCTGAACCCCTGTAGCAAAAAAAAACAAACTTGATATACCAATCCAGATTAATCAGAGTAATCACAGGGAGTTTTCATTTTTGATTTTCGTCAACAAGTGGCGTAGTGTCACATTTTCCTTCCTCAAATCAGTGAATAACATCAGTTAAGATTATCAATACTGAACCTAAAAGTAATGACAATATGCATGACTAAATGTAGAGATTTCGGAGATATTTGCGAAAAACTTCAGACATGTCTTGAGGCAATATTGAGTTTAAATTTATCAGAACCATTGAACTATTTAAACAACAGTTATCAATCAAGGGAAACCATGGAAACGATCTTAATATTTCGAACAGTAACATATTCGACAACTAGTATCTCATATAAGTTGCACTTTAAGACATACTTCAATATAAAACTGTTCATCTCGAAATGAAGTGTGGGATAAGAAGTAATAGAAGTTTCTTGAACTAATTCAGACTCACCCGTACAATGCTCTTATCAACATTCAAACAGGGTTGAAAAATGTTGTGATTTCTCGTAAAAGTTCAACATCATGCGATTATGCCACGCAGCTAATTGGGTCTCAACCTCAAGACATCTATTTAGTTTTTTGGGAACCTCTACACTTAGGCATGCAGAATGTTATTACTTTCAGGTTAGGTATTGATAAGACTAACTGATGTCATACGCCAATTCGACAATTCATCTGTCTAAGGTAGAATATGAAGAAAAATGTGGCGATATATGACCCTTCGTACTTTCGATCGACACCTGAAAATGAGGTGAGGAATCCGTGTACGAAGTTTGTTGATCTTATTCTGACTCTCCCTGTATATATTTAATATTGTATCTTCTTCACGACCAAGAATGTATATTACTATTCATAATAATTAATGAATCATAAGCAAAGGTAAGCGTAGATGGCGTCACCAAAATATAGTGTTAACTGATATGTGTGAACAATGAACTAAACTTATATCAAATTCCATCGAGAGGAACTGGTGGTGGTGTATCTTCAGTGTATCATCAATGATGATACACAGGCTAGTGAATATCCCTCTTTCGGAAGTAAATTTCAATAAAGAACTCAATATCATAAAACAAATTGCAGTCAACAACGAATACAACGTTAATTTGATAGACAGTATTCTTACTAAAAAAACTTCATAATAAAGCTATTCAAGAAGTTCATCCTACCATCAAGAATGATTATCAAAATCATAGAACTTCAACCTATTTTGGATCATCAACTGAAAAATTAGCTTCATTTCTACTTAAACGGTACTTGCGAGTAACATATAGAACAAATAACACGTTGGGAAGGTTTATCAAGAATAATAAAGTCAAAACTTTTAAAAATTCGAAAAATCAGGGGTATACAAACTCAACTGTGGATCTTGTCCTAAGGTATATATCGATCAGACAGGTACGTTTAATCAGCGCATTCTTGAACATAAGACGAATTTTTTGAAAAAAAAAAAAACAAATTCAACATACGCCAACCATTTATTAGAAGAAAACCACAGTTTTGATGATAATTTCGAAATTCTACACATAGAAAATAAAGGAATGAAACTCAATCATTTTGATTCATCAGAAATCAACAAACTCCAAAGTACTGACATTTTTTTAACGATCAATTGGACCGCAATAATTCACTGTTGAATTTGTTTTCTCAGTAAGTAATAATATGTATTTGATATCAACCCTTTCAAGTTAATCCGGTGCACCGTATTTTGTTTATCGAACCTGTCCACAGGTAACTCATCCTCGAGGTTGGGAAAGTAGGATATATAAGCAAGCCAATGTTAGTTTAGTTCATCGTACCAGTATATCACCTGACGAACCTACTGTGTCAGCGGAACATGTCGTGTGTTTGAGAATTTTGTGGACATCTTATCGTTTGTGAAGTTTTTACATTTACCCCTGGTGAACTCGGCACTAACCTTGAGCTGCGTCCACGTGATCCCGAACAGGCTGTCGCTCTCGTTGCATATCTGCATGAATCGCTCCCACACCTTGCTGCACCTGCCCAGCGAGCAGAGCGCTATCGGATCACCGACCACCGCGACCAGGCTCTGCGCACGCGTGATCGCCGTGTTGAGCAGCTTCGAGTTCGAGAGGAAGCCGTAGTCGACGTCGGCGCCGTTGGTGTCGTTGGTGCAGGTCTTGCGCGTGCGCACCGTCGACAGGATGATGGCCCTGAACTGTAATACCCAATGAACTGTATATAAACATATTGAGTTCATTGGTAATACCGGGTCTTCAACAATGATTGAAAACCACGTGACAGATTACGATGCAACCAATAATACAGTCGAATCTCTTTAACATGGGTGGAAAAGAGACGCTGCATTAAAAACGGTCACGTGGCACACTATCATTGTTGAAGACCCGTTAGTATATCTATTATGACAGATCACCCAACGTGCTACTACCATTATGTTAAACGTAGTCGAATTTCAGCATCGATCGTATCTGATCCTATTGATAAGGAATGTTTTGCTTGCCAAGCGGCATAAAAAGTGGCTTTTCTCTGACACTTAACAATGATACGCCCGCCAATTACCTCAATATAACCTAAAAAACAACAAATATCAAAAATCTAGTGTTTATCCCCAGAATTGAACAAGGATGGAACTATATAACTGTTTCACAAACACTTTAGAGTGACTGGAGACGAGGATCTGTCCGTACCCTGTTGAGATGACTTTAACGTCAATTTTCATCAAGGGACTCTAGTAATCAAATATCTGTCAGTCTAATTCTGTGGTTTGATTTTGAAAAAAAGCGAACTTAGTGGTTGTTTATTAGTTATTAATGTAACCGCGAAGTGTAATAAAAAATTAATTGACTTGCAGTTCTTTCACTTCATTCTCGGAGACCGTGTTATTGCAGGTGCAGGTCTTGCGCGTGCTTACCGCCGACAGGATGATGGCCCTGAACTGTAATACCGGAAAACCACGTGACAGATTACGATGCAACCAATAATACAGTCGTATCTCTTTAACATGGGTGGAAAGGAGACGCTGCATTAAAAACGGTCACGTGGCACTCTATCATTGTTGAAGACCCGTTAGTATATCTATTATGACAGATCACCCAACGTGCTACTACCATTATGTTAAACGTAGTCGAATTTCAGCATCGATCGTATCTGATCCTATTGAAAAGGAATTTTTTGACAAGCGGCATAAAAAGTGGGTTTTCTCTGACACTTAACAATGATACGCCAATTACCTCAATATAACCTAAAAAACAACAAATATCAAAAATCTAGTGTTTATCCCCAGAATTGAACATGGATGGAACTATAAAACTGTTTCACAAACACTTCAGAGTGACAGGAGACGAGAACCAGTCCGTACTTAGTGGTTGTTTATTAGTTATTTATATAACCGCGAAGTGAAATAGAAGATCAATTGACTTTCAGTTCTTTCACTTCATTCTCGGAGACCGTGTTATTGGCTTAAAGAAGATCCGGCAACTATTGCCTCCAAGTTCAATGATTTTTTCGTCAAGGCTCCTATGGAATTGGTTAAACAGATACCTCCAAGTAATAATGGGGTATTTGCTAATGAGAAGGATTTCAACCCTTACACAATGTTTTTGAACCCATTTACGGAACATGAATTACTCTCATTGTTGAAAAACAAACTAAAGAATAAAAAATCGTCTGGTCCAGATGACATACCGATGTTTATATTGAAAACAGTTCTTCCTTTGATAATATTACCATTAACACATCTGGTAAATACGTCATTTGTGAGCGGTGATTTTCCGCACAAGTTAAAAACTGGTAAAGTCACTCCTATTTTCAAAAAGAAAAACACAACCTGTGTGGAAAAATATCGTCTTGTAACAGTCCCTTGTGGACTCTCGAAAGTTTTCGAATATGCCTTTGTGGAACATCTTAATTCGTTTCTTGATAAACATTCTGCCCTGAGTAATAGGCAGCATGGATTTCGTTCCGAAAAATCTACGAACACAGCAATGTTCTCATTACTGAACAACACCATAGAATACGTTGATTCAGGTAAATGTCCAGCGGTAATTCTTTGTGATCTTAGTCGAGCTTTGGACTGTGTCAACCATCGAAATTAGAAATGTATGGAATAAGAGGCGTATGTCTTAGTTGGTTCTCGTCATTTCTTCACAATCGAAAGCAATTTGTTTCCTTACAAGTAGTAAATTAATGACTGGCGAGGGGCAAGGGGTTGGATGTTTTGGCTGGTTTAACATTCAGAATTCTGATCACCCTGTATTTGTTCCGATTGAATATCAGTAAATAGTAAATGAAAGTTGAGATAGGGATATGTGAGCCGTTTTGGCCGATAATGAATAGTTTCGGCACAAACAAATCCTTAAGTTGAAAAATCTCGATTTTGAACACCCTATATCTCTGTAATCATTCCCGATAGACCTCAAGTTTGATGTATTGATGAAATCAGCTCTCCAGGGAGAATCTGAAAATGCAATGAAATACAGGGTATTCTACATTTGATATAACAAAGTTGTTGCTACTTCTTGATAGAAACGGCAACACTGCATTGCTGAAATTATTTTAAATGTATGTATTTCTCCTGACTGATTCTCGATATAGAGATTGTGTAAGCCTGTCGTGACATAAGCTGTATGTTTCGTGCTTTCTGTTCGAAACTGTATTTTTTCCGATCAAGAAATGCTTTTTTAAGAATCTATCATCTTTAATAACTGTGATACAGAACGTAATCTATGGTCAGGTCATAACTTTTGAACCACTCTGTATAATCGATTCATACTTGGTAGGTATATTCAACTCAGATCACTCATCAAAACTAAATAGGAATCGAATTTAAAATCCAGATCCGTCTTCAGGCAAAACAGAAAACTTCTAGATATTGAATTTTTATTAGAATTTTTATTGAACTCGTTATTCAAAATCCAATTTTATTTAAAAAAACTAACCAGTCCTCAAATTTCAACTTAATTAGAGCTGAATTATCGACTATCGATAGATTTTGTTCCGTAGAATAATTTGTTAATTATTTTAATTATTTTCGTGTGCTCATTACATTTTCACACACACAAATGTCAAATTTGATGCGCGCTTATAAAAAGTAGGCCACATTGTTCATTATTTTCCTACTCTTTCCAGTTATCAAAACATATCTAGAGATTTTGGGAAAGATTATATTTGCAGCCTGTGTTGAATCATTAGACTTTCGAAAATAATACTGTCAGAGTATATCCGTGTTCACAATACCTCATCTTATATTTTGTATATAATATATATTTTCCCCCCGTATAATTTCATCATCATTAGTTATAGATTTCCCCCCGTATAATTCCATTATCATCATTAGTCATAGATAAATCATTTGTTCGGTAATTAATCGGTTATCAGCATGATTCAACTTATTAGTCATTCATTCGGGACCAGGTGGTAAATCAAGACAGTCTTATATTAGATGTCATCACGTACGGTCGCATTTTGTGGTCGACATCGAAAAATACGCGAAAGGAATTATTTATCGTTCGAAACTGAGTGTTCCCTAAAAACTGAGTGATCGTATTGATTCGTATATAGTGTTCTAGTGTTCCTCATTCGATTAAATGATAATAATATCGGGATAGTGTGTTGTTCTAGTGTTTCGTGTTGTTTCATCAGAGTCACACGTTTTTCACGCTGGTGAGTGCAGAGCAATTCTCTCATTTTTCCGCATATTTCTCTGTATTCATCTAACTTCATTACCCTATACAGGGTATGTCACGACGAGCTTACACTAACTTTAAATCGAGAATCAGTCGGGAGAAATCCATGAAAATGTGCATGCTTATATTTTGGGATACGCTCTTCTCATTTAAGATATGTTCGACAATGCAGTGTTGCCGCTTCTACTAGAAAGTAGTAGCAACATTGATAATTCGAACGGAACACCCTGAATTTTATCGCATTTTAAGATTCTTTCTCAAGAGCTGATTTCATCGATATATCATACTTGGGGTCTATCGAAAATGATTACAGAGATATAGGGTGTTCAAAATCGATATTTTTCAACTTTAGGATTTTTTGTTTCGAAAATATTTATTATCGGTCAAAACGGCTCACATGTTCCTATCTCAACTTTTGTTTCACTATTCACTGATATTTAATCGGAACAGATACAGGGTGGTTCAAGATCCAGAATTCTGATCACATGCATATTTTCATGGATTTCTCCCGACTGATTCTCGATATAGAGATAGTGTAAGCTCGTCGTGACATACCCTGTATGTTTCGTACCGTCTGTTGTATTTTCTCCTATCAAGAAATACTTTCTTCTGATTTTCGTGCTTCCTGTTCGAAACTGTATCTTTTAAGAATTTACCATCTTCAATAGCTGTGATACAGAACGTAATCTTGATTTTGGCAAAATCTTCATCTATGGTCAGGTCATAACTTTTGAACCACTGTGTATAATCGATTCATACTTGGTACTCTTGGTAGGTATATTCAACTCATATTTCTCATCAAAACTAAATATGAATCGAATTTAAAATCCAGATCCGTCTTCAGGCAAAACAAACAACTTCTTTTTTATAACAGAGCGCGTCCCATTTGGAAAATAGAATTTTTATTGAACTCGTTATTCAACAAATCCAATTTTATTACAAAAAAATAACCAGTCCTCAAATTTCCACTTAATTAGAGCCGAAATAGGTAAACTATCGATGGATTTCGTTTCATAGAACAATTTGCCAATTTTTTTAAATATTTTCGGGTGCTCATTACATTTCCTCACACACAAACTGATTAAGTATTTTACACTCTTGAATTTTTGTCCACAGATTCATATATATATACCGGGTGTCAACGAATTTATTAGACAAATCATAACTTCTAGACCATTAGGTGTATCAAAATGAGATTTGGTATATATAGGTAAATGGTATGTGAAGAGGAGAGTTTTCACTCTCCGGTCACTTCCGGTTTCACCGGAAATTGCTCCGGTTCTAAATGTTTAAATGGAACACCCTGTATATTGTAACATTTTTGGATTCCTGAGACAATTCTAGATCAGAATGTGACATCCTCGAAAATTTTTATGCCTACTTGGCACTTTTGAAATTCCATCTAAGTGGCCATAATCGAAAGTAAACTAATCTAAGGACCTCTGATGATATCAGGAAATTACAATCGCGAAGTTTAAGTATTTTCGTCAGTTATATTCACTTTGTGTTCTTA